GCACGGGGCTCAGGTACAGGGAGCAGGGCGCAAACAGCTCCTCCATGAGCACGCTGCAGGCCTGCACCGCGTAGGAGACTGCGGACAGGAGGCACAGGGCCGGGGGCCAGGGGTCAGGCTTGCTGGGCCCAGGCCCAGCCCCTGCCTCCCTCCCCACAGCTCAGGGAGTGTGTGTGTATGTGTGTGTGTGCGCGCGCACACCTGTGTGCATGTCTGGTTGGGAATGTGTGGGTATGTTTTAGTGAGTTTGGATGTGAATATGTGGCGGGCCATAATGCATGAGCATAAATAACTGTAAAGGAGTATGTGTTTACGTGTACACGTTACATATGTGTACATGCACTCATACATTGCATCCCACCAGGCATGAACCCACGTGCTGGAAGGGAGAAACAGGAGTGAACAAACAGACGAAATCTCTGCCCTCATGGAGCGTACATTCTGGTCGGTGGAGAGCATCACTGAACAATTTACATAGAGAAATCTCTAAGGAGAGAGGCCGGGAAGGAGGACAGGGATGGAAAGTGAGGTGGGAGGAGAAATTATGGTTTTAAATGGCAGGTAGTCAGGAAAGGCCTCTGTGGGAAGATGATGTTTGAGCAAAAATTTGAAAAAGGTGAGAAGTATGTTTTCTGAGGGAAGGGCATTCCAGGTGGAGGGAACAGCAAGTGCAAAGGCCTGGAGAGGAGAGGAGGCCTGGCTGTGTGGGGAGAGCAGCAAGGGGGTCGGGGGGCCGGGGGGCTAGAGCAGAATGGAGGGCAGGGGAGGAGGTGGTGAGATGAGAGAGTGGGCAGAGGGTGTAGGGCCTGATGGGACCATCGTGAGGACTTGGGCTTTTGCCCTGAGATAAGGGAGCCAGTACAAACGGGTGTGCACCTAACAGGGTAGAATATGAAGCTTCCTGCCTGCCAAGCCCTCACCAGAAGGGAACCCCAGTTTCTTAGCACCCCTGCCCAGTCAGACCAGCATCCTCATGCCCAGGTTCCCATCTCCTCTCTTTCGAACCAGCCCCACTGCACCCAGCCCCCACCTCACCGGCTTGCAGATGCATGTCACAGGGGTCCAGGGGGGAGCCAGAGGACAGCGGGGAGCAGGCAGACAGTGTTTTCCAAGAATTGCCAAAGAGTTGTGGCGTGCTCTCAGGCACTCCCACTGGGGACCTGCAGCCAAGACAGAGCCACACTCACACACTTGCCCATGTGGACCCAGGTGAGAGTAAGCACCCCCCTGACCATGTACACACACACACACACACACACACACACACACAGACCAAGCATAAGCACACACGGTAAGAGGCACAAATGTACCCATCTGAACGGGAACACCATAGGCCCAAGAACACCACCTGCACACACCTCTCACACAAACACACACAGCGCAGATATGTGCCAGACATGCCAGCAGCCAACGGCGCCTCCACAACCACATTCAAGCACAATACGGCTGTGTGCGCACACACATCACATCTAACAGGTTCCAAAGGGACTCACGATGGGCTTGGGCCCCACACTGCCCTGCCTCCTGCACCCACCCCCAGCTCTTCGTGTCAGAGAGAGAAACAGGAGCGCTATGAACCAGACTTCTTCCTCCCCTCCCCACGGGCAGTTCCTGAAAACTCCCCCGCCCTCCCTTTCTCTCTGGGTATGAGACAGTCACACAAGGAGCAAGAAGGAGAGCAAGGGGGAGAAGCATGATGTTTTCTAAACATCGCCATCTCCAAGGGTCACCAAGCCCAGGAAGAGAGCCCTTGGCGTCCACAGGGGGCAGGCTCTGCCCACATTACTGCTCCAGGCCAGTCGGAGTCCTCAGGTGACACAGAGCATATTTCCGCAGAGTCCACAATTAGGAGGGTGGCAAGCAGCCCACACAGCAAACCAAGGTCTGCCCCCACCGTCCGGCCAGCTGCCCTACCCTCAGCCCCACCAGGCAAGACAGAGCAGAACGCTGCATTTTAAGTGTGCGTGCACTGAAAAATGCTCAGCTTTTCCTCGTACTGGTTTTCCAAGCAAATCTGAATTCTTGTTTCCGGCTGAGAAAGCCTCTCGTGTTTCCTTCTGCCTCGCCCAATGCGCGTAACTCGAAGGACTGGCCGGGAGCCCCCTCCTTCAAGATCAGCCCTTTGTCCTTATTTCTGGAAGGCCTGACTCCTGACCCCTCCCACGTCCCTAAACTGGGTCCAAGCCCAGAGTCCTTTCTCAACTCTCCGTCAGTCCACGGGAAGCAGCACCAGGCAGGAAAGTTGAAGGGTTGGTGAGACAGAAAGCAGGGATTCTGGCATCACTGGCTCACTGGGGGTCTGCACTCATCTAAAGGCGTTCACAGGCAATTAAAGCAAACAACCATGAGCCAACTCAAACCCCTACTAATTTTAAGATGTTTGCCATAAAGCTGTATTTCTCAAGGTATGCGCCATAGACCTCATAGATTAGAATCACAGTGGTGCTTATCTATAATAATAAAAGCATAATATGCTAATTAGACCAGACAGCCAAACAACCTTCCTGACGTCCTTCTGGATGAAGCCAGGGCTGCGAGGGCCATGGCTGCAAGGGCCAAGCCCCTTGCACGAATTTCATGCACCAGGCCTCTAGTTAGAAATAAGATTCTTGAGCCTCAACCTATAGCAGATTCTTAAAGGGTAGGACCCAGGAATCAGCATTTTAACAACCTCTGCATCTTCTGCACAGAGAAGACTGAGCCATTGACTTAAAGAAACATACTTAAATTTGCATGCAGAGAAATAAATGATCAATGGTGAATACCAGGCGTGTGAGAGCCCATGGGAGTTTGGGAGATTAGGATACTTGGCCCTACAGGCACCCCCCCCCCTTCCTGTTCTAGGGCAGGGCCACGTACAAAAAGTCGTCCTGCGTGTTGCCGTTGAAGGTGCCGCAGAGGCCCACTGTGTCCTCCACCCATCGCTGGTCCACCTGCAGGTAGAGCCGCAGGCCTTCTCGATCGTAGAGCACCCGCACGCCCACGTTGGTCCTCACCCGCAGGAACACGGAGGACAGCCTCCGGATCTCAAAGGCATCTGGGCACAGAACCCGGAGGGGGATGTGGGAAGCTGGGCCACTGTGCACCCCACCCTCCCCCACCACCTGCGTGGTGCCCTCCGAGCCCCATGCCCAGCCCAGCCTCCACACACAGTGAAGCCCTGCCGAGGGGGTGTGTGGGGAGCCCCGAGGAAGTCCTGTTCCATGATGAAACCAGGACCAGGGACAACCTACTGTGGCAGCACCGCCTGAGAAATGTCTTTTAGCTTTAAATGCCTATTAAAGCTTTGCCTCCCTACGTAACTGGTACGCTTCCTTCTCTGGCAAAGGAAATTCCGTAACTGCCCACTCTTCTCACAGTGGCCACTAGGAAGCTCACCACATGACTTTAGATTCAATCGCAGCAATTTTAAAGTTTAGATGCAGTTGTGGTGGATTTTATGCCCTTGGTGGTTTGTACTTCTTTGGCCTCTTTACCCCACTCCTCTCCATCTTGAGTTCCTATTCTTTTATTTTCCTTTTGCATTTTCTCTGGTGCTATTTCATTTCTTAGTAGTTTTGCCATTTTTATTAGTTGTGCTTCCTATGAGCTACCACAAATCCTTTGTATCAGACAGGATAACAGTAATGAATAAACAAATGTGAGAGTAGGGGTGGAAAACAGCTCCATTCATACCCTAATTTAGAAGAGGCCATACTGCTATGAAGCCTGTCACGTGGGGTGAGGACAAAGATCATTTTAGAGTCCAGAATCCATGTTCCTGGGACCAAGGTGCCCCTGGCCTGATCCACCCAGTATTAGAATTGGAGCTCTTGCCCAGGTGGCAGTGCCTTTGGCCAGAGGAGCCTGGGAGAAGCCTGGGCAGCCGCTCCCAGCCCGCTCTCGCCCACCAAAGCCGTACCGTCCGTGTAGGGTGGGGTGACCTTGTACTGGTCAAACAGAAGGACATCCCCCGCTTGGGTCAGGGTCACCTGTCTCCGAGGGTCCTGGTGCAGAATCACTGACACCGACTGGACACAGACTCCATCCTGGTTCTGGGGAGACAGGAAGGTCCATGGGGCAGAGTTAGTCTGTCTGTCCTGCTGGTCCCAACAGAGCCCTCCAGGAGCAGGGAACTGAGTACAGTTTGCAGCCAGGGACAGGCTCCTCATGGTGACAGAGCCCGAGAGGACATTAAGGGTCCTCTGACTAAATGCCTTCATCTGGGGCATGGGAAGGCAGAGGCTCAGGCTGGAGGTCAGTGGCAGAGCTAGGATAATGCAAATACATGTGATGGTCAACCCTCAGGCTGTCTAGGACGCAGAGCAGAGACAGCCCCTGGACGGCCCAAAGTCTAGCCTCAGAAACACGCCCTGCTCGACTGCCAGCTGGGTCTTCGATCTCATCCTTGTATGGTTGTTTAGCTCTTTCCGTGTGCACATCCTGCAAAGTACCAAGCTCCTCTCACAGGGAGGCAGGATATGAGCTAACATTCTCTGGGCCTCGGGTTCTCATCTCTAAAATGGGTGGTACGCACGAGCCCATTTGTACCTCTTTGCACCGGAAGAGATCAACACAATCATACAGTGATGAACTTGACAGATACAGTCCCTGCCCTCACGGAGAGCACATATTCATGGGGGACACAGACATTAAATGAAGGATACAAAGCTGGTTATTTATCATTGTGATCAGTGCTGCAAACACATGTAGCTGCTAAGAAAACATATAGCAAAGGAACCAGACTTAATCTGCAGAGGTAGGAAAGGCCATCCTAGGAAATGATAATCATAATAATGTAAAAGTAATCATAGCAATACTAAAACTCTTAATGCTACCATGTATAATAATAATTGTAACAGCTAACTTTAATGTAGGGTTTCAATGTTCAGGCACTGTTCTAATCTTTTTATATACATTATTCACTTAACCCTCATAGCAATTCTATTCAGTAAGTATAAACAACCCCATTTTGCAGATCAGAAAACTGAGTCATGGGGGAAAGTGACATTGGAGCTGAGGTCTGAACGATGCAAAGGGAGAAGGGGTCAAGGGAGACATCCAGGAAGAGAGAATAGCTGAATAATGTCCCCTGACACAGGATGGCATATAATGCATTCAAGGACATAAAAGAAGACAGAGGGGCGGAACCCACTGGGCAAAGTGTTTTAAGATAAGGTTCAAGAGGTAGGCAGGGGCTAGCTTAGGCAGAGCTGACACAGCTTGGAGGTCACCTCCTCTAGGAAGCCTTTCTTGATCCACCCCTGATTCCCAGGAAAAATAGCAACAAGGAAAAGTTCCTCCATGGAGAGCTACCCTGTACTCCCCACACTGTCACAGCTCCTATAACAGAGTGGGTTATGAGGTCACTTGTCTGCCTTACCCAACAAAGTGTAAGGCCCAAAAGGCCAGAGCCAGGCTCAATTCATCCCAGTCTCCAAGACCTAACATAGCTTTGGGCACAAGTATTTGCTGAACACATGAATGAATGAATGAATGAATGAATGAATGAAAATGAATGCATGCATGAATGAATACAGAGATGTTGAAGATACAATCCAAGGAAGCAGAGAGGATTAGGTTAAATTAGAGCCATATTACAGATTGTTTTTTTTTTTTACAAACACGGAGGCCCAAGAAAGGGAAATGACTCTCAGCCATCCTAGAGCCAGAAGCCAGCCTCCTGCCCCAGGCCCTGCCCAGAACAATAGACAGAAGGCTAAGTGGGCTGTAGGAAGACCTGGGGCCCTGCCCTAAATCCCTCAGCCTTTCTAGCGGCAGAGGGAGGGGCGGCTGGCGGGATCGTGCCTGGGGTCCCCAGCCCTTACCAGGCCACAGGGGGCGTTCTGCAATGTCACTGTGAAGGTGCCCGAGGAACGGCTCTTGGCCAGGATGTACTGACACGTGGCAGGGAACGTGTACCGGCGGCCGTCAAAGGTGGTGAAGTGGATGTCGCCAGTCACCGAACACTCGGCTGAGGACAGAGAAAGGTGGCGACCCATGGGAGCTGCCGCATGGGGACGGCCTCGCCCTGCAGGCTCTGAGCAGGAGGAGGAGTCAGCACCCTGTCCTCGGACTCAGGGCAGCGCCTGGAGGCCTGGCCTGCCCTTTGGGAGCCCTGGTCCCTGGGGAGGCGCAGCCCTGCCCTGAACTCCCTCTGACAGGAGACCAGGCTTTGGGCTTGAAGACCAATTCTGGTCCAAGCCCCTGAAGTCAGGAAGGCCCTTAGATACATAGAACCCCATGAAAAACGGGCCCTCGTGGGATGGAGCAATCGCCTAATCAGGAAAGCAGCTCTGAGGAAACAGAGGGAGGGTGGTTATGCCAAAAACAACAACAATACTGAGTGACCCCCCAATCTGCCACTCTAGCCCCAACAGCAGGCCTGGCTCCCAGTTTCCCTGCCCTCAAAACTGTGAGACTAGAGGAAGGAGGTAGAGTCCAAGGTGGGGGTCAGCTGTACCTGGGCAGACAGATGTGCTGCACACCCACTTGCCCGCAGTGCATGTGCTGAAACAGAGACCAAAAAGGCAGGGGCTCACCCTTCCAGACCTGGGAGAGATGCTGGAGGGGGGCGGGGTCCACAGAGCTCCTGCCCCCAGCCCTCAGTTTTCCCATCTCTGAAATGGGCGGTGGAGATTCCACCCACAGATTAAATCTAATGACATCTGTGACTCAGAGATGCTGAGTGAGTGCCCTCATGTCATCAGGGCTCCCAGACCCCAGATGAGCAGCCCTGATAGAAAGCCCTGGGATTTACCACCTCCTCCCACCCCCAGCAGCGGACACAGACCAGGAATTGCAGTCTTCTTTCACCACAGAGCCGACCGGGTACAGGGTCCCGTGGAACTCACAGGGACAATCAGCTGGTGCCACACAGCTCCCATCCTCGAAGATCAACCCTAAGGTGACAGAAAGGCCCACTTAACTCACCTCCGTTCCTGTTCACAAACCTTTCATGGCTCCCCAGATGCTGTAATAAAGATTCCCACACCCAAGCTCCTGCAGCACTGAGCCCACCTTCAAACTTCCTCGTGTATAAATCCTCAGCTCAGGCCAGATCTGAACCTCCTCTGAGCAAATAATCTCACCTCCAGAACTCTGCTCAGAGACACCCATTCCAAACAACCTGCATATGGTCTAGCTTCTCCTCTCCACCTCTCAAAAGCCTGTTATTGTAAATCCTAGAACCAGCATAGGTACCACCTCCTCCAGGAAGCCTTCCCTGACCATCTCTCCCACTAGTGAATTCCTATATCCTTTCTGTGTGAACCCCTGAGTTGATGTGCCTAGAGTGGAGTCATATGTGTCTTCTCACTGCCACCAGAGTCTGATCCCTATAGCCAATCTTTATATTTTCTAACCCACCTCTGCCTAGCCGAGTGGCCTGCATGCACACTATAGATGTGCTGCAAAGTTATGCACCATGACAACAGTACATGGATAAATGTTGAAACAAATGTGTGTGTGATAAATGAATAGATGAATGATGATGACTTGTCCTCATCTACACACCTTAAAAAGCTCAGACCCAAAGAAATGAAAAACCCTGCCGAACCTCTCAAGAGCCACAGTCCCACCCCCATCCTCACCTCCCTTAACCCATTCATTGTTTATTCACTTATTAGTTGTTTGCTCCTTCCTTCCTTCCTTCATTCCACGCACAGGCATCCTCCTAGTTCCTGCTTCATGCTCAATCTGTGCCCGGCCATGTCAGGCACCCCCTCCATCCCCAGCATACCATCGGGGCAGTAGCAGCCGTCCACACAGGCAATCTCGCTGTCCACGCAGGCTGCCCTGGGCTGGCAGGAGGTGGGGCAGCAGGTGATGCACTCGTTGTAGGTAAAGGCCTTCTCCTTACAGTGCACGGCTTGGGAGGAAGGGAACAGAATGGCCTGTCAGCTCCTGACAGGCCCAGCTCTGCCAAGACCCCCCAGTCCCTATCCTAGGCCCTGGGGCAGCAATGGAAGGGCTTTGATTTTCCTGATCCCTTAGCCCTAATGGCAAGAAAGATGCTCCTCTCACTCTATGGCCCTGGGCCAGTCCATCCTGCTCTGAGCTTCAGTTTCCCATCGGTCACATGGGGATGAGACCTCAGGGCTTAAAGCTCTCACTGTGGTTCTGAGCAGGACAGGTCATTGAGCTGAGGCCTCAGAATGCCATGCACAACCCTAGGGCAGAGCTTGTCTGGGACCTCCCTGCCCACCACCAGGCTGCACCTACTGCATTGCCGGAGCTGGGTCCTCCAGCCCTGCAGGGGCCGCCCCGCCTGGGCACACGCCCGGGCATACTCAGCCAGTGCCCGACACCAGGCGGCTTCATCACCCGCTGACCTGTGCAGGAAAACCAGGGGTAATACTGTAGTGAGGCCCAATCGCCACCAGCCCTCCACATTCTGTAGAGACTGCAGGGCTCAGGGCACCCCTGCTCTCCACACAGTTGGGAAAGGAACAGGGGGTGTCAGGCCCCATTTCTGAGCCTCGGTGAATGGAAAAGCTCTGCAGATAATTTCAGAGCTTTGGGAAGCATATCTGTCAGTGCCTGGGATTGTCAGGCTCGGTGGTCCACGGGCTGAGCCCCACCCCAATACTGAGAGGGTTTTCCCCACCACCCCCAGTCCTGGCTTCCCACTCACTGGCAGAGATCGCTGGTACAGCTGGCCGCGAAGGGCAGAGGGCTGACGTAGGCGTGGCAGGCATCAAAGGGGGGCCTCAGCAGCGCCTCACATCGGTCATACACACTCTGGGGCAAGGGCAGGGAGCTGGAGCCGGGGACCAGCAGGGCCACGCACAGCCCTCTGACTCCACCAGCCCCACATGGTACCCCAGCTTAGGCCCAGGGGATGGGGAGGAGAGGACAGGGTCCTTGGGCACCAACAACCTGGGCTCCTGCAGCCAATGACTTTTCAAGAGGTAGATGGGGAACCAACTTAAGCCAGGTACTAGGTGGGGAGGTAAGGAGCCAGGGTCCCGACCTGCATGGCTCCCAGGCTCTGCTGCAGGCACGGCGGGCGAGGCAGGGAGGAGGTTGTGGGCCCTGGAGGCTGGTTAGGGGCCTGCTCCTGCCAGCTGTGCACAAACTCAGCCACATCGTCCGTCAGCTTCCCTGTGGGGAGAACCAGCATGACCACAGGTGGGGGCAGGTGCACAGAGGGATCTGGGGGAAGGCAGGTGGAGCCGAGGAGATGCCCAGAGGTGGGCAAGGAGTTGAGGAATCCAGCCTCCTGAGCTCCCATCCCAATCTTCATGCCCAACAGAGCCGCTTTCCTGGGAGAATATTCAACACCTGCAGTGGGTCCCTCCTGCTCCACACTCAGGGGAGGCAACAGCATGCAGTGGAGAGAGAACAGTGTGTAAGCCTGGACAAGGAGCCTCAGTTTCCCCATATGTGAAATAGGGCCCATAATCCCCCATGAGATCATTTCACAGACTATATGGGGTGATGCACATAAAGTGTTCAATATGCTGTGGGTGCTCAAGGCAGTCACTGCCCTTGTTCGGGCCTGAGTCGCCAAGCTTGGGCCCTGCACCCTCAATTTTATTCTTCCCTCTCCTCCGCAGGGATCTTCAGCTCCAGCTGGGCCCTCTCTTCCTGGCACTCTGGCCCTCTATCCTCCCCGCCGCCCCCCGCCCCCCGTCCCCAGGCCTTTCAAGGTCAATCCCACCCAGCAAAGTGCCCAGTAGATGCTCACACAACCCTAGTAGGAATTCTCATTATGACTGTTTTACAGATGAGGAAGCTGAGGTCGAGTGGTTAAGAACTGAGGTCACACACATAGTAGGAAGTGGCCTTCCACTGATCTTTAATAACATGACCCAGGGTTCTTCCCTAAGGCCCTCCCACCCCTCCCAGACCTATCCCTCCACCAAAACCCACTGGAGGCCACCACCCTGCACCTTACCATAGCTGGTCACCAGGTCGTCCTGGGGGTCAGCATTGTTGTTCCCACACAGCCCATGGGTCCAGCCCAGGAACTCCGGGCTCATCTTGATATAGACAGCGGAGGCACCGTCCCAGGCCAGCGTGAAGGCGGACTGATACCGCACAAGGACGTAGCCAGCGAGCCTCTGCAGGTGCATGCTCCCCATCACATGAGGCAGCTGGACCCTGCAACACACAGCCCAGAGCTCCAGAGCACTCACAGCACCTCCACTAGCCCAGTCCCCTCACCAAAGGACCCGCCATCCCTACTTGCAGGACCCATCATGTACACGGCACCTCCCTCATCCACACGGCCACTGGGACCAGGTACACAGCACCTGCCTCATCCACACGGCCACTGGGACCAGGTACACAGCACCTGCCTCATCCACATGGCCACTGGGACCAGGTACACAGCACCTGCCTCATCCACATGGCCACTGGGACCAGGTACACGGCACCTGCCTCAGCCACACGGCCACTGGGACCAGGTACACAGCACCTGCCTCATCCACATGGCCACTGGGACCAGGTACACAGCACCTGCCTCATCCACATGGCCACTGGGGCCAGGTACACGGCACCTGCCTCAACCACATGGCCACTGGGACCAGGAGATCCAAGGCCCCCTTTCCCGCCCTGACTCCTCGGTGCCAAGAAGTCTACCATAGAGAGAGATTCTTTTGTCTCCAGAGTTTTAAAATTGCTTTTTAAAATCTCAATTCCCTTGGCAGAGACAAATCTTAGAGTGACTGAATTTGTTAGCTCCGCTCTCCTGGACAGGAGAGGTGGTATAAGCAGACAGTGACTTTGCTTGTTTTTGTTTTGTTTTTTTGTTTTTTTTTTTTGTGTGTGTGTGTGTGTGTTTTTTTTTTTTGGTGGGGGACGAGAAAGGAGTAAGAAAAGCAAACACTGAGGGTGAAGGTAAGTGGATAGAGGAAAAGACGCAGGGACCACTTTCCCCAGCTTTACTGGTATAGGGACTCCCAGCCAACCTGGGATTGGCAATCCACCTGGAAAATCAGGAAAGGAAGACAAAAGAAGTGCCCGACCAACCATGGTACCAGCAGTTTGGTTTCCCGTTTCCAGGTCTGAAGCCAGACATGAGAAAGGGGGAAAGGGTCATTGCAGGAAGACCCCACCTCTCCTTCAGCCACAAAGTGACTGACAGCTGGCAGGGAAGGGAAGGACAGCGACAAAGGCTTCAGAAAGAACCACAGTCCAGTTAGTGTGGGAACAGAGTCCCCCTTCCTGTGTGGTCCCTGATGTCCCAGAAAACGACCCCATGTCACCAAAAAGGGCGAACGCGTGCCGTTCCTGTTCTGAGGAGACTTGAACTGTGTGTTATCCATTTGGGCAGATTTTCTTCAAATCGTGGGGTGGAGGGGGTTAAGCATGCTTTAGTAGCACACCCGCATCTCTCCGGGAAATTGCTATTTGCCTGAAAACCCACAGGGCCGAGAGTCACAGGAAATCACGAGGGCCTCGTCTTTCTGCAAACCCCGCTGTCTGGACACCCAGCTGGCCTGCCAGTGTGTTCCTGCCCTAATAGTGGAAATTCTGCTGCTGCCCCAGAGAACAACGTTCTTTAGGCCTGAGAACGGCAGGTGCTCACCCACCCCCACCAGCACTGCCCGGGCGTAGGGGAGGTCAGGGCAGAAGGTGTCCTTACCTCACTCCTCCGTGGGTGACCTCCTTGGCCAGACGGAGCTCCTGCTCACCCGCCAAGAAGAGGCTGACAGACCTGGAGCAGGTGTAGGGGGAGGAGCCGCACTGCGGGTCGTTGTGCACCTGATTGGGGGTTCAAAGGCCAGAGTGCAGGGTTCCTGCTGGGAACTTCCGTTCTGGACCCAGTGGCCCCCTGTTGAGCTTCTGCTAAATGCTGACCACCTGCCCACTGCATGCCAGGCACCTTTCTTCTGTGACCTCTCCCGGTTCCCCAAGCATCACAGGGAGGTCAGAGCTGCGATTATCTGACTTCCAGAGAGGGGGCAACTGGTGCTCAGAAGGTGAAGTGACAAAGGTCACACGCACAGCCAGGATGCTAACCCGGGTCTGCTGGTTCAAACTCCAGTGCTCTCTCACTATATTGCTCTGCCTCCCCATTTCTGGATTCTTTGTTTCTCCATCCCAGGTTATCCCATCAGATTGAAAGGCAGGGTTGTATACGCCCACCATTTCACATGCACACAGAATGAACACACACACATATTCACCTCACATGTATACTCACAGGGTACTCTCCACCCACACACTGTAACACACTTCTACCACAACCCTGGCGAGCAGTCTGGCCCTCCCCCGCACCCAGGTCACTCCTGTGCTGCCTGTCACATACACATCTCCTCTGCCCCCTGCTCAGAGAGAACCCACACCTCCAAGGCCATGGGAACCAGGGGGTGGCGGGTGAGGGGGCACCAAAGCTCCCAGAGCTTAGAGAAAAGTCTGAAAATGTTTCTCTTCCTGAACCTTCCACTGCTACGTTAAATGTGGTTAAGCAGATGGACCGCTTCAACCAAAAGTAGGACCTGTGAAAGCCACCCCATAGTCTAATTACTAAATATTTTTCCAATATTTTGACCATGACCCACATAAAATGTATACATATATAAATAAAACAAAAGCTTTACAAAATAATATTTACCCCATTCAAGTATAATGCATTCTTATATTTTCTATTCTCTTTGGGGATTTTTATGCTGTTTGTGACTCATTCAGCTGATTTTATAATCCATGAATGAGTGGTACCTCATCACTCTATGTACTTGTAATATATCCATCATGAAATGACAGCCACGGAAAACTCTGATGTGGGACTTCCAAGGCAGAGAGGGCAGGATCGGTCAAGGTCATGGCCATGCAGGGCATGGCCCCCTGGGCAGCCTCTCAGCAGGTGCATGCCTGCGACAAGGGGCCCCAGCCTCCAGGGCCTAGTGGAGCCTTCCTAGACAGGCAGGTCAAGGGAGGCCTCACCTGGACGGAGAAGGTCTGTCCCTCGGGTTCATGGCGCCCCACCAGTGTGTAGCTGCCCTTCCCAGAGAGGTAGTAGTAGAGGCCATCAAATGTCTCCACATGGTGCTGTCCCCACGCCCGGCAGATGCTGTCCCGCTCAGGGCCAGCGTTGTACACTGCGCCAGGAAAAGAGAACCTCTCTGTGTAGTGCAGTGGGCACCAAGCCAAAGGCTGCTGGGCTCCAGCCCTGTTAGGGTCACCCCCACTCATCCCACAGTCCTGGACCCCCAGAATGTCTCTGTACCCATAGCCCCTCCCAGGGTGGGATGGAGCCCAGACCCACCCATCTGGCAGCGCGGTCCAGTGGCATTGAAGCGTCTGCAGTCACAGAAGGCTGGGTGCACACACTCGCCCCCGTTGAAGCAGGAGAACAAGTCTGCAAGGGTGACACAGAAGGTACCTCCCCATCGAGCTGAGGCTGGCAGAACTCAGGGATGAAGCACCTCCCTCAGGCCAGGGCACCCGGCCCCAGCCCTCCCAGAGCTACATGGAACTCAGATGCCCATCCCAGGCAGTTCCAACATTCCTCAGTAGCTAACCTTAATGGGGGCACAAGTAGGGTGCCCAGCCCCTTCCCTGGCAGGCAGGTAGGGTGGGGTACCTACCTTCAGTATGCACCACAGGGCCCCCAGACCAGGCCCACCTGGTCATCAGCTCCCGCAGCTAAAAGTTCCTGCCTGGCCTCTGGGCAAGGCCGGCAGAGCTGAGCTATGGAGCATGTGGGGTGAGCAGGGACAGTACCCCAAAACCAGGGGAGGGGACGAGGCCTCACATCTGGAATGCAGTAGAGAGAAAAGCCACAGAGGACAAGAAGATAAAGCAGAGCAAGGTGTGGTGAGGGAAGGAGCCATGATGCAAGAGGAGGGGCCATGGATACAGGACAGGTAGGCCATGGACAGTGAGGGGAAAGGCCAGGGACACAGGACAGGATGAAGAGCAATGCCACAGAACACAGAGAGAGGCCACAGAAACAGTGGAGGGGGAAGCATAAACTCATTAGAGTCAGACAGTGTGAGAATGGAAAGCCACAAGGCCATGGTCCTAAGAACAGAACACTGGCGAGGCGCTCCTCTGCCAGGGAGGAGAACACAGAATGAAGTTGGAGGATGGGGCTGGAGAAGGTGGAAAGAAAGCCCATGCAGGGAAAGCAGGTCACAGGAGGTCCCGAGGGAAGCCTGTCCTGCCCTCACTGGCCTCTCTGCCAGCTGGGCCCTCCCACACACACCCACGGACCACAGGGAGGGGACCACTTACAAGATGGTGCACATTTGGCCCGATGGAGCCGCCTTTCCCAGAAGGACATGGCCAAGGAGTCCACAGCTTCAGTCTCCTTTTAAAAATGGAAGAGAATGCGATCAAGGGCAGACTTCCTGGAGGTCACAGCCCTTTCTGTCCATCACCTGGAGGAAGGGAAGCCCCCGACCCTTCCATACCCCAGCCCTGCACCTGCCCAGGCCCACCTCTGGAAGGCAGGGAAAGGAGAATTTTCAGGTCTGCCATAGGCCCAGAGAAGTAAAGGCTTTTTTTTACTCTCCAAAGTGGCATCCCACACCCCCCTCCCTCCATGCTCCAATATTCCCTGCCTCTCCCCCCTCCTCCCCTCTCTAGTAAACCTTTGTGTCTCCACAGCTCAACACAAAACCCCCTTGTCTTGAGAACAAACATGTTCCTCCACAGAAACCACATGAGGCAGAGCAAATCTCCTCACTGCAGGATGGGAGGACATCTCACCCCATCCCTCACCCCAACCCTCCTTCTGGGATCTTCCAACAGCAAAAACAGTGCCTCACTCATCACCACCCACAGTCCTCGGAACTCAACTCCAAGTCAGGACTCTCCCTGATACCACAAATCTGAGGAGGACACAGGCAAAGTGGAGCTACTGATTCCATTGTAATTAACTAGTCATTCATAATAGGAAAAGAGCAAAAGGGAAGGCCAGACATTATAGGCAAGTCATTTGGGCAGCTTCACCAGGAAGCTGCAATTCTGCACTCCCCAAGGAACCACTGGCCCATCCTCTGCAGATTACTGGGGGGAGGGACTGGACAAAGGAGAGGATGGACACATGCACAGTGAAGTTGGGATGACCTAGGGAAGGTACTTGTCAATCAAACCTGGGTACACAAATCATGGAGTAGAAGAGGTGGAGCCAATGCAAGCCCACAAAAATTTTGGGGTTACATAATCCCCCAAACAAAAGAGTTTGCTCTCTCTTGGCTCTTGGCACACGGCTCTCTCAGCTCTCTGGTTCTTTTGGCTTTGCTCCTGCCTATGTTCCCTCCATAGCGCATAGCCATGTGGCCATGTGGACCCCATAGGCAATGGACTGATGGACTGCAAGGGGGAACACAAACTAAGCTAGCCTGATGCTGGACTGGACACGGCTCCAATATGGGGCAAAATTTCTGGACACTGGCTGTAATTCCAGTCCTGTTAAAGCCACAGCTACACTTCTTCTAAGGTGGGGCAAAGGGAAATGAACCTTGGAAACTCAGAGGTTTAATTCCTCAGAAATAAAGCTTTCTGCCTCATCCTCCCGTGTGAGTCTCAGAAAATTCCTTTTCTTGGGATATTGCAAGAAGCCCACTCCCACAAGCAACAGGTGGGGACGTGGACCTCTCCCCACCAATAACACTAAGAAATCCCATTTTCCAGACCCCAAATCCAAACACTTGGTCTCTCGAGATACAAACCCTCTGAAATTAGGGCTGTCCGAACACCATGTGTTCAGTCACCACATGGCTACCTGACTTGGACATCTGACCTTGCAGAACTCCCGTCCAAAATGGCTGAAATCACCTGGAACTGGGACTCTGTGCACAGTAGGCTCCTTCCCTCTCAGAGCCTCGGCCTCCTCATTTGTACAATTTTCCAGAACTATATGCCCAGCCTCTGGCCATGTAGTGAACAAAACAAAATCCTGCCCTCAGGGAGCCCATGCTCTTTTTTACAGGGCCAACAAGACACAAACACAGTGTGGGGATTTGTCTCACGTCTTCCTCTCACTGTCAGCATCCCCAGGATGGATCCCCAGCCTCCAGCAAAGGACTTGGAACACAGAAAGTATTCAGAACTCTTGGTCCCTGAGACCAACCCCAGCTCCTTGCCCCTCCTTGGCAGGCTGAGTCTCTCTGCCTCACCTGCAGACACTCACCTCCTCCCTCTTCACTATCCTGCTGACCCCTGGGAAGTTCCTGGCTCCTCCTTGACCAGGTTGGTTCTGGGTCCTCCCCAGTTCTCCCGACCCTGCAGACCCAGGCCGAGCCCGAGGGGTCAGGCTGCCCACCCTGGCTGTAATCTATCTCCCAGGGCCTCAGAGACCACAGGAATAGGAGAGAGCAGCCAGAGAAAGCAATCAACACCAAGGTCCTCCAGGGCCCCAAAGAGCTGAATTAAAATTGGCCTGTATGTCTCTCTACTCCTCTCCTCCGCCTCAGATGTGGCCTCTGAGATTGGTGTTATGAGGATAAAGCAGCTTGTGCTACAGAGTTGAGGCTATTTTCTGGAGAAAAAATTTAAACCCTGCCCAAATGATTCATCTTCAGTGTAGATGGGTTCTTAATTATTGTCATGCCATTTTTATGAACACCTTTGACAATCTAATGAAGACTAGTGGCTCCTTCTGAGAATGTTTCTAAAAAATAAAACATAAGATTACAAAGGAAATCAAATATATTAAAATATAGTTATAAAAATATTTTTTAATGTGTGACTTAGTAATATTTGCACTTTTTATTAACATATTAAATAACCAGACCTAGCGGCACATGTTGTCACTGCCAAAATTTCCAAGCAGTGAACATAAGTGAGATCGGGAGGTGTCAACAACTGTAAGGTGATAGGACCCATCTGCGATTTCTTTGGTGACAGTCACAGACACTGCTAACACTCTTGTCGTGTGTAGTCTATGGCAATAATTGAAAGGGATGTGAAATTTCAGTTAATTGAAGTTCCTGTAAATAATAATATAGTTTCCCCACCTATGTTCATGGACCCCTGGTCTACACCATCAATTCTTTGAGAATGGCTGAGCTCTTGTAGGAGTGAGGCAGCATTGAAATGAAGGGTGGTCGGGTGCTGGTCAGGGACTCCCCCTCTGTTACGAATGAGGTCATTCTACGCAAAAGGCCCTGAAGCGTCCCCCAAGTTCACTTTCTAGCTGATGGCCTCATTCTCGTCACCCTTATTTGCTCTATGAGTAATGTGAGAATCCTGCTGGGGTTGCCTGGTCCAGATGCTTCACAAGGAAAAAGGGGAGGCCTATCTTGGAATCCAGCAAGGAAGGAAGCCCACCAGGGGAAGAGGTACTTGGGTAAGGATCATTTCCCTCTGAAACACATTTCCCTGGAGTCCTGTGGGGCATCCGTGGTGCCAGGGACAGGCCCAGCTCCACACCAGGAGACCAGCTCCATCTGCTCTCTGGGGGCCTGGCAAGTCACCCACCTACCTTGCTTTCCCCAGTTATAAATAAATAAAGATATTATCTTTCAACTCAAACTATATCTCACCATAATTCTAAAAGTTGGGAGCTAGAAAAGTATGCAAACAAGAAATAAAAAACAAACAAACAACTACCCAGATAAGCATGACCCCTCCTACCTTGGGGTCTTCATATCTATTTCCAAAGGGCAGGAATGTGAGACACATTGTTTCCCACTATAAATGATGCTTCCCACCTGCTGGCACAAGGAGACACCCAGACTTGATCCCTAAGGTGCATGAGATGAGGCTCAAGATGCTTGGGGGACCTGGCGGCCGGATGGGCTGCATTTGTAACATGTCTGTGGTTGTAGGAAGGACACAAGTGCAGGCCAGGATTAGAAAGAGAACCTGAGTCACCTGGTCCAGAGCCCAAAGAAGTTTGGCAAAGGAAGAAAACGAACCAGCACCTCTCCTGAAAGCATGAGGAACCCAGGAGGGTGGGCGACAGGGAGTGGTCAAGATTCAGAGGACGGTAGCTCAGGCCTCTGTTTTTCAACCAATCCCTCCTTGCAAACCCCACCAGGTGGTCCAGTTTTCCCCTCTCGGGGCAGCTTTGCTGGGACACTGCTCAGGGTATGGAGAGGGACCTCTGAAAGGGTTTAAGGCCTTCCCAGGCCAGGCAGGGAAAAGAGAACACGCCTAACCCCTCACCTTTCCACTTTTCACTCGGGGAGGGAGAGCTCAATTGTCTCCTGATAGCACCTTGGTGCCCTCCTCCCATTAAAAAGTAGGTAAATGGATGGATGGATGGATGGATAGATAGATAGATAGATAGATAGATTAATGAGTGGGCTGCAGGGCCCTAAGAGATTAGGAGAGTGGGAATAGAAGTGACTGATGAATTTGCATACCAGAAACCATGTTTGCTCTCTTCTGAATAATTGCAGAGACAGCCTTCCTGAAACCTAGGAACTCCCTACCAGCCTCAGCTCCCAACAGAAATGAGCCCCTGCCCATTGAAGGCCCCCTTCTCCAGGCCTCCCCTTACCTGGCCTCCCCATCAATGTTGTTGCGTCCCCTATGGCCAGGGTCCTCTCCTGGGGGCTGTGGCTAGGTGAGAAACAAGCCCGACACGGGCAAGGGGATAAGAATGGGCCAGGCCTCCCCACCACTCCCAGGCCATCCCACCCTCCGTGCTAACTCCTGGGGTCACTCACACCAGGAATACAGATGGGAACAGTGGGTGGGGCAGCCACAAGCTCACACCTACTCACCTGGGATCCTGGGCTAGAGCAGGCTGCAGCTCTGCGTTGCTGGGGGGTGCAGGTGCTTCGGCTGAGGACAGGGAATTCCTCTCCGCTCAAATTATGCCTCTTGTTGGGCC